AGCAGGAACATTTTTGTTATTCTGAAATCCATACTGTAGAAAAAATGTAGGTCAAAACCATGCTGCCATAAGTCTTGCTTGCAGTTTGCTTCAGAACAGAGATTCAAAGGTCTGGAGGGGGAATTAAACTCTTTCAATGCAAAATAAAATTAAACTGTGCATATTCAGTATATTAAAATGCATGCCAGAGACCAGTACCCAGAATAAACTGCCATGTAGGCTTTTTAGTCATGGCCAAAGCAGAGGTATTTTTGCAGTGGGTTTTTGAGTGCGTGTGTTTATATGTCTTTTGTTCTGATACCTTCCTCTATTGAAATTTACTTAGACAGAAATCCTGACTTGTAAATTCATCCAGTAGAAAACTGAAGTTAAAGAAAAGGAGAGCTCAGAAATAGTAAAAGTTCTTTTGGACAAAACCCACGTTTCCCCAATGTGACGGGAGGGCTCTGAGTTTAGTTTTTTCATGCAGAGCTTCAGCTCGGTGCTCAGCTTGGAAGCATTTCGAACTAATTCAAACAAAACACATTGACAGTAGAACTGAACTTGGGGAGAGCTGTGCTCATTAATAAGTCTTTTCAGGAATTTGCCCTAGAATAAAAATAATGTCAGATTTTTCTCCACATTAGCTGTATAAAGTGAAATAGTAAGTAACCTTGCATTCTAGGTTAGTAGCACTTTGTCCACAACCATCTCATCTGATTGACTTTCCTAGTCTCACCATGTCTCTGTGCTTTGGCACTCTGAAAGCACCATCCTTACAGAATAAGTTGGAGAGGAAGGATCTTTTAGATTTTCATGCTCGGAACTGAAACAACATAGTAATTTTTGTGCTCAACAGCAGCTGGTACCTGTTTCTACAGAAACTGCAACTTAGTTACTTGTGCATGCAACTGGGATCAAGTCTGCCACTTAAGCCTGGTCATTGGGTCACGTCTGACTCAAAATCTTTAGGAAGGGTATACAGGAGGGAGAGGGAAGATACTGCACACGTGTAGCTTCCTAAAGTCTGCTTGAAATGATTCGAACTGTTCTGTTTCCTTTTGGATAGCATCGACTGCGCTGGGATCTTAAAGCTCCGGAACTCTGACATCGAGCTGCGCAAGGGCGAGACAGACATCGGCCGGAAGAACACACGCGTGCGGCTGGTCTTCAGGGTCCATATACCACAGGCCAATGGCAGGACCCTCTCCTTGCAAGTAGCCTCCAACCCCATCGAGTGCTGTAAGTAGCAACCAACATCATTCTCTTGCTGAGTACTGTGCCATCGCACATGCAGCCTTTGTCCACAGATATGCTATACGTTGGTTTTGCTTGACCTGTCCAGTCGTGAACCTTAATCTGCTTTCCAAAACCATGTGGTTTATGCTGAAGACAAAATACCTGTGTCTTGGAAAAAAATGTTTAGTTTGTACATTGATTTCTATAGGAAGGAATGCACTAAAACCAGAAATAGGGTACACTTGAAGTAACAATTAGACCTGGGAGCGATAAAGCTTTTTTTGAGTGACTCCCTATCATACAAGTAACTGCTGTAGAAGTTTTGGACAAACAACTTCCTATTCGCTGTTTGTATCTCCATCATAGATAAAAAATCAGCAAACAAAACCCCAACCTCTCTGATGCGGACCTTGCTGTATCCTGTAGCTGAGACACTGGCACAAGCTGCCTGTAGCTCCAGAAAACCTCCAGAAACCAGGTTTCTGCACTGGGGGTTTTTTGATTGAAGAGACTACTTTTTATCTGATACCGTGGGGCACCCTCTAAAGACATTTGGCTCCATAATCCTTGCCAGCCTCCCCCACACAAAACAAGAACTGTTTGCTTTGTGTAGCTTTAACATTACAGCATAAGTGGTGGAAATTGAATTTCAGTCTAACTCCCATTGCAAATTTGGCCAGCTGAATGGACAAAAACAGTGGTATTACTGACAGCCTTTCAGAGCAGCGACAGTGCTCCATCCTGTCTCCAAGGGTAGCACCACTGCCACTCTGGTAGTCCCAGTCTGCCAGAGTGGCAGAAGTTGTAGGAAAGGATAGTGCTGTTAGGCCAACAGCGATAGCTGCTCTCCTTCACAGTCATTCACTTAAATAAACAAATGAGCATTGGCAGTGGGAAGAGAGTTAAATTAAGATAAGCCGATGTTATTTATGAAGACTAGCAGAGCCTCCTTAACACTAGCAGGTAGACTGGCATAAAGCCCTGTCTTCTTTCCAGGATATGTAAGAGATGAACAGTTTCCCTTTGTTTCTTATTCAAGGGCAAGTTCTAGGTTAACAGGCAAAGCAAAAAATGTGAGCAGTCATGGTTTGATACTCCTGCTGTTGACGTTGAGGAGAGTTTTTCAAGTACTCTGTAGCAGGATAAGACACAATCTAAATACATCCTGAACTGGTCTATGCAAAGGTGCCAAGCTTAGGAAGTCACTAAATATGAAGCTGATTGGATTTGTATCAGTGATCTGCAGTTTTGAGGGTTGTGTAATGAGCAGAAGCGTGGTACGTGCCTCCTGAAAGGAGTGGAAAGCAAGTGAAAAAATAAGTGCTAGTGTTATTTCCAGTGCAGAATGTGGAATAAGCTGGTGCCAAAAACTTAATGTATCTCTTAGTGCATGTGACACCAGGAGGAACCATGTAATCTGGATAAAATGTCACGTCATCCCTTGCAACACAGCCATGCTCACTCTGTGTCCCAGTTGCAGGGGGATAAAATATGTGCCACGAGAATATTAGATTCTGTTTGCGTGGACCAGCATGTGCTTTGGCACTCGTGCTGGTGGAAATACACTCTCTAAACTATTAACTTCTGCTGGAACTTGAGCCTCATGGCTGCTGCTACTGCAGCAGCAAGACAGTTTGCAGAACTGACTATATGGAGTTCAGTGACTGAAACACATTTTGGATGTGGATGGTTGTCTTGTCACGTATGCCTTGTAAATGTATAGTGTATATGTTATAGATAACGTAAGAGAAGATTATTTGAAATAAATTTCAGTAAAAACACAGCTTTTATTATAGTGCAGATCAAACAGAGTTTTAAAACAGGTTGTTTTTTGTAAGCCTTTTAAATCTATACTGCTGTGTTTGATAACCCTATTGTTTACAATCAAGTCACTTGAAAACCAGCCATGTTTCCTGCAAACCTTCTGACCTTTCTTTTTTTTCTATATCAAACTCAGCTTAGCTTATGAGGGTAAACATTAAGTTATTTACTAATGTGGTATTTACTTATCTTTGTGTCTGTGCATGTGGGTTGTAGTTGCCTTTTTTTTTTTAATCTTCTTTATAACTCTGCAGCTCAGAGATCTGCCCAAGAACTGCCTCTTGTGGAGAAGCAAAGCACTGACAGCTTTCCTGTTATTGGAGGGAAAAAAATGATACTTACTGGCCATAACTTTCTGCAAGACTCCAAAGTCATCTTTGTGGAGAAAGCACCCGGTATGTCTTTTCGATCTAGACTCTGGTCTGCCTTTGTTCCTCTGTTTTAAAATCTCTGCCAAATGATGAAAGCATCAATACGGTAATGGCATTTTCTTCTGTGAGTAGTATGTTTTCCATGTCACTGGGCAAAGCTGTGAAAGTGATCTGAGACATGCCTAATGCTGAGCTTTCACACTATGGCAGATGTAGTTAAAGGTAGACAATAGTGACATTGAAAGGCAAAGCCGGGCATTTATTTTTGTAGCAAACCATGGCTGGACTGAGTAGAACTTTCGAAGGGCGTTCAAAACCTCAGGTGGCATGTCCCTGTAAAACCTGCAAGGTGGCAGGTTCAACCTTTCTGCAATTTGTGGAAGAGGGAGTGATGTTGCTGGTGATGTGTATGTGTACGTGTGTCTCCTTCTCTGGCAGTTGAGACCAGTGGCATTTACAATCTGCTGGCTGAGGAGGACTTGCACCACACATGCATTCATTCGAATAAAATATTTCTGTTTTACCTTCAGGACTGGGGAAGGAGTGATGCCAGCTTCCCCCTTGTACGGCACTGCTCCTGCTGTGCATTGGTGGTGGAACTGGTCCTCCCAAGAAAGGGCCCCTGGCCAGGCTGAAGCAGGGCAAGTGGCAGGTGGTGGGATCTGGCCCTGGCACAGGAGGTGTCTGGAGGAGTGGTGGGTCACAGGGTGAAAATGCGTAACATGCGTGAATGCCCCCGACAGGGAAAAGGTGGTGAGAGTGAAGCTGTGAGTCCCAAGTCAGGCTCTGAAACAAGATCGTTAAGGGTAGTTTTGAATCTTGTTTTGGAAAGTGTTTCCGTGGCGCTGGCACAAGCTACAGATTCCTCAGCTGCTGGCTGGACTCCCCCACCCCGAACTTTAAACCATCTTGGGCGCTCCTCAGGCCGCCAGTGTGGGCTTTGATGCTGCTCCTTTTGAATCCTGCATATACAGAAGGTTCCCACACCATTTCCCAGCCCACAGCTACTACACGCAGCACAGGAAGCCAGGCTGTGGGAAGAGATAGTGGGATGAGCAGAGGAGGCTCTGGAGGCAAAGATACCTGAGTAGGCACGAGATCAGTGGCCTCAGGAGAAGAGCAAAAGACTTCCCTGAAGTTCTGTGGTGGAGTCTTGGGTTGGTGAAATGTAAGTCACCAGAAGTGTGCATGGGGCAGATGTAATGCCCCATCCCCTCAGTGAGAGCCAGTCAGCAGTTTCTCTGACCCCCAGGCACCATCAGGCTGGGGCTGTGAGGTGAGCAGAACACTTTTTTCTTAAGAAAGTTAAAAAGAAAAAAAGGTGGTATTGTAATTAAAAACTGGAACTTTGCCCTTTGCATAGAATAAAGGGAGGGAAGAAAGTGACTGTCTACTTCATCTTTAATCTTCCCTCACTGCACAGAAGTAGGTTAGTGTGTCACATCAGGAGCAAAGGAGCAAAAATAACATGTTAAAAGATGTTTTTCCTTCATAATTATTTTCTCTCATTTTCCTTTATTGAGTTGGAAAAGTTTTAAAGTATCATGTCCCGATTATGGTGATTCTGCTCACTCTCCAGCAGGTACCACAGTGTGGATTTGGACACTTTCTCTCTTCTTATTAAGTACACCAAAAGCAGAATGTTTGCTGTGTAGCCTTAAATGACAAAAATGCGAAATGGGGACAGCCTTGTACTTCTTAACCAGAGAGATACCTCCCTCGAGCAAAAGGAATTTGAGGCTGTACAAAGCATATAGACAGAAAATGATTGATGTAAATTACAATTTTTAAACATCATGAGAGATGAAGGAGTCTTCTGCTGCACAGTGGGTGTGCTGATCAGGAAGAAAATTATCAAAAAGCATTGCCTGTCACCCTTAAAAACTCCTGGGGTGAGCTCCTTGGGTGCATAGGTTGACCTGAGGGACCAGTGCAGGAATGTCTCTTCTACATGAAAGCACCACCTGAGATGCTGCTGCACTCTTTC